TCCAACCCCGGTAGACAGGTCTCACAGGGAATAATTCCGAAAACACCAGAGAAGAAAAGAGGCTGACTGTGTAAGGGCTGCGTGAGAGGGCACACATGGAAGAGAACACCAAATACACGCAGCCCAAAATGCCCAATAAGGCAAGCCCACTCAAGCTGGAATCAAAACATACATGTGAACACTAAAACAGGAACCAATACACAAAGCAAATGGAAAAAGAACAACGAAGTTCAAGGATGGCCAGCACTTAGACTGAAGCTTAGGGGCTTGCCTGTGAGCTGGCATGACTAGAAGCACTGAAAGCAAGTGTGAAGATACCAGCATCAGGAAAAGAACTGATTTGGGGAGCTGGCTGGGAGCCAGAGCCAGGCCACCTGGTGGTAGCAATTGGGACTAAAGTTTTGAGCTCACTCGAGTGAATCCCTCGCTTCGTGCGACTTGTTTGCAGAGCTGTTTAGGGGTTCATGAGGCTTCATTTTTTGTGAACGCTTCAGGTGTTTGTAAAGCTGTGCTGACTTTCTGGAGGCTTTTTCTGGTGGGGTGGCAGATTGTCACATGCTCTGTATAGGTGACAATCCTGCCCCCTGTGCAGTTGACAATCCTGCCCCCTGTGCAGGTGACAATCCTGCCCCCTGTGCAGGTGACAATCCTGCCCCCTGTATAGGTGACAATCCTGCCCCCTGTGCAGTTGACAATCTTGCTCCCTATACAGGTGACAATCCTGCCCCTGTGGCCAGGTTCTGGCTCTGGTGCCTGGTAGGCCAAACAGAACTTTCCGTGACTGATGTGACATTTTAGTATGAAGCAATCTCAGGAAGATAGCTTGAGCAAGCCACAAGGGAATCTTTCCACAAACTTGCATTGCAAAATATTTGTCCATTAGATATTTTCAAAGTCTGCAATATTCAAACGAGATCATGCACTATATTTTCACGAGACTGAATAGAAACAAAGATGATTCCCTGATGTTAGTCAAAACCTATTCTCAAGCTGCCAACAGAGGTTTACAGTATTTAATATAAATATGAACACTGCATTAAAAATTAAATGTACAGTATATGCAAGTATTTCAAATATGCAGTCAACTAGAAGAGGCACACCCACGACATACTTAAAAAAAAACAGCGTTGAATGTAATGAAACGCCATTTTCTGGGCGAGACCCGGAGGCTTCCCGGAGCTTTACCAGGCTGATATGCTAATGTCAGACTTTGGCATCAGTCATGTGTATGGAGTTCTAGGGCCTACCAGGGACCACGGCCAGAACCTGGCCCCCTCAGAGAGGCAAGGGGAGCAAGGCCTATAGAAACCCCTGTGTGGTTGGAAGCATTCTATGTCTGCCATCGACCGGGTCAAACATCCAGAAAGTTAAGCATTCCAAAACAAACCCCTATTCTGGCTAAAATTGCTACCTAAAGCCGAACTAGTGGCTAGAACGCCCCAACAGAAAAACTAGTATGACGTCACACTAGTATGATGTCACACTTCACCGTGCCGCTGTCTGCGCAGCTCCCCCCTCCCTGGGAGAGGGAAGGGGGAGCCTCAGACCTCCCACACTGGCTATCCACCCATCAGTTCTGAGGTTGGATGTCAAAACACGCGAAAAACCGCCGACCGGAGGGAGGGAGGGTTGCCAGGGAGCCTCCGGGTCTCACCCAGAAAATGGCGTTTCATTACATTCAACGCTGGTTTTCTGGGGGGAGCCCCGTCGGCTCCCCGGAGCTAACTACCCACAGAGGAAGGTCAAAGGGACGGAACCGGGAGGCGGACCCCACACACCCCCACGGAAGAGAGACAACCGGCAGCAAACGCCAACCCAAGGCGCCACAGCCCAGAAAGGGCCCGGGAACAACACGAGAACAACGAACAGCTAGGCCCCCGTACGAACACCAAAGATCCATGCCCGAATGACCGTAAGGACACGTCACTCAGACGGCAGCGAGAGCAGTGAAGCCACGAATGCCACGGGTATGGGGGAAGAACACAGGCAGGTTAGCCGCAAGAACACGGCTGACAACCCGGGACACCGTCACCCGCGAACCGGGAAGAACAGAACCGGATCAACGCAAAACGCACCCCGGACACAGATGCCGTGGCACGCAAATACCAGCGGAGGGCCGCCACTGAACACAAAACACGACACACCCCCGGCCCGACCAACCAAGACCCAACAAACCAAGGACCCCTCCAGAACGCAGCAGCCCCACCCCATGCCAGAAAAGATGGAGACTGCTGCCACCGAACAACCAAAACGCTAAAACCGAAGGAGCAAGAAACTCAGCGACCCGACCCCCAGAGGCAAATGCCAAAAGGAAAAAAGAGCAGACGAAAAAACAAACCGGAACCGAAGGGGCTCTACCAACCAAGGAGAAGACAGAGCACGCCGACCAGAGACCAGAACGGTGCAAGCGGCGCATGAACAGGCTGGAAGTGAAACAGCGCACGAGACAGCTTACTAACGGTGCAGAAGCAACACCAAGACCGAAAGCAAGCCGAAGCGGCTCCGCCAGCGCCGCACGAAAAGAGGCAACAGTATGTGGCAAGACGACGGCCCCCAACCCCCACCAGAAAACCAAGCCGACGCTAACAAGTGCAGCCACCTAAGAAGGGACAGGAGGAAAAGGAAGGACCGCCTAAATACCCCATACTGCCGCCAAGAAGAAGTACGCAGGTGGGACACCAACCACGAAGCCACCCGACCACCAACTGGAGGCGAGACCGCGAGGCAGAACGTAAGCAGCCCCGACAAGGCCCCTCCGAGCAGGGAAGATCTCGGGAGCGATCACTGAAACCCAGGTGGCACAAGGAGATGGAACCGAGAACACAGAAGCTAACACTAGTCCCGAAGGCACACAAAGGCACAGGCGCACCCGAGACCAGAAGTCACATAGAACCCCAAGAACGGGAAACATGACGGAGACACCGTCCCAAAAAGAGGAAGGGGGAGCATCCACCCACAGGACGGAACCAACAGACTCAAAGGCCAAGGAACCGAGCCCGGGGAGGGGCCGACGCCCAACAACACGTACGGCGAGTGGGGAGGAAAAACCCCACTTCGCGTAACCACAAGCCCCGCCTAGAGGGGGAGAAAACCCCCCACTGGGTCCTAGGGGCCAAGGCCCCCCCAAGTCAGCCCCTCCCCAGCCCCGGGAACCTACACGACAGGCCCCGGGGCCGAGCCGTCCCCCTAAAGCCCCGGCCGTACTAGAAAACCGGGGCAGCCGCGAAAACACTAAAGAAGGGAGCCCACTGGCTGACTCTTACAACACGGCTGGAGGAACAGGCTCAAATGCCCCCGTCACTAACCCGGAAGGGGAATTCCCCGAGACTGCCCGAGTCTCAAAACCATCAAACCCCGCCCCGAACCTACAGGCAGTAAGGAACCGGATGCAGGCAGGAAGGGGGGATCCAGAGGAAAGACATGGAAGGAACAGAAGCAACCAACACCCCCAAGTCCCAACACGAACCAAAACGGGGCAGCCCCGGGGCTCCCAGGGAGCTGCTGCCTGCACCCGCCCCTGCTGCCTGCACCCTCTTAGTCAGCACAAATGGGTAACCGAGCCACAACGAGCAACAAAACTCGCAGGACTCCGGGTCGAAGGTATCATCGACCCCACAGGCAGCAGATGGAGGCAAAACAAAGTCACCCAGAGACAAGGGGTGAGAGCAACCCTCAAACTCGCTGGAAGCGAGGGGGGGACTCTGGGGTCACATCCATCGGACCTGCGCGCCCCCAGGGGTTTCCCAGGGTCCCGAGCATTTACTATAAGAGGACTATAAGAGAGGTATAAGAGGACACGCTCAGGTAATCCCAGGCAGGGTGCTGCTAACCAGCGCCCAAAGCTACCAAACAACTTTCTAAGAGCTGAACCCCCGGGACGTGTACACTCACGGGGACCTAGCAGGGGGTACCACCAGAAAATACTCAGAACACAAGGGACACAAGGGGCAAGAACGAAGGCGGACCCCCACCAGGTAGATAAACAACAAGAAAAAGAAAACCCCGCAAGAGGACAGCGTACCCAAGCAGAACAGAGCCGGCCGCCACGATTGGTAAAGACAAGCTGCACAGTACCCTGTGCCCCACAAGTGCAAAACTGCCCCTTACCCCAAGGCAAACAAGGGAAACAGAACACCCGAGCACACAAAGAGCGGCCGAAAACCAAGCAGTAAACGGCCTAGCAGGGGCAGGACCCAAGGAACTTGTGGAAAGTGGCCCCAAGCCCCAAGGGCAGTACTTACTACACCTAGGGAAGGGAACCCTAGGCGCATGCAGCCCGAGTACTGGAGACTCACTCCCGGCTCACGCACCACCTAGAAGACTGACACCACACTCTAGGTACAGTGCTGAAACAACTACTGGAGCCAGAGCACACAACTGGTGCCTATAGCATCACCGAAGAACTGATGGGTGGATAGCCGGCGTGGGAGGTCTGGGGCTCCCCCTTCCCCCTCCCGAGGAGGGGGAGGTCTGGGGCTCTCCTTTCCCCCTCCCGGGGAGGGGGAGGTCTGGGGCTCCCCCTTCCCCCCTCCTGGGGAGGGGGAGCTGCGCAGACAGCAGCACAGTGACATCATACTAGTTTGCTTGTTTTCTGTTGAGGAGTTTTATCCACTAGTTCGGCTTTAGGTAGCAATTTTAACCAGAATAGGGGTTTGTTTTGGAATGCTTAACTTTCTGGATGCTTGACCCGGTCGATGGCAGACATAGAATGCTTCCAACCACACGGGGGTTTCTATAGGCCATTGCTCCAATTGCCTCTCTGAGGGGGGCCAGGTTCTGGCCGTGGTCCCCGGTAGGCCCTAGTCCATACACATGACTGATGCCAAAGTCTGACATTAGCATATCATCCTGGTAAAGCTCCGGGGAGCCAACGGGGCTCCCCCCCAGAAAACAAAGGCTTACAAAAAAAAAAAAAATTGGTCAGCAATACTATATGGTATCCATCTATAGGAATGTGAAATACCTGTAAGTTATTGGGGTTATGGAACTACTCTACTAACCTTGACCAAATGAGACCAGTAGCACCCAAGGCTGTCGACTGGGAGAGAGAGAGCTTATCAGCAGGTCGTGCTGCATCTCCAAGCCCAGCAATCACCAAACACTGCAAAAATGAAGTAAAACTAGATAATTCACAATCTCAACTAATTCATGAAGGAATCTTTGGTCCCACATGCTAGGCATATATCAAAATACATATAACATTGTGAAATATTTGTAGAAATACATACTATATTGTGCTTCTCATGATACAACAAGTATTATAGCCTTTTCTTAAAAATACAAATGCCAACCATCCTTTCTGGCCTCTCTCTCTTATCTCCTACCAAATTTCACACATCGCTTCCCGTCTCTCAGATATTGTTCGTCTGTTTCCGAGTGGATGGATCTTTCCTTTCTATCCTAGTTATTTCATTATTGGCACCTTGTGCCAAATATTGTCACCTCGTATCGTGTGGCTCTGGCAGAGCTGCTGTTGCTTGCATTTGAGGTCGATACTTCCTCGGCTCCATTTGGCAAGCTGTCTCATGTGTTGTTTCACCTCCAGCCTGCTCATGTGCCACCAGAGTTAGCTTGGTCTGTCGACTACATGCTCCATTTTCCGTTTTCCATTCTGTTTACTGTGTCCCCATTGAACCAGAATTGTTTTCTCAAGACCCTTTCCCAAGTCTCTCTGACTTCCAGTTGCCATGTAGGCGAACTTCAGGCTCTCCTTCGGCACCAGGGATTTTGTTCCTATGGTCCTGCGGATCTGTTTGTTCATCTTCTGCTGGCTCCTCCTTTTCTGGCAAAGAATAAGTTGGTTGGTTGTTGATGCTTGGTTGGTTTGGCCGGGGGTGCATCATATTTTGTGTTCGGTGGCAGTTCTCCATCACTACCTTCGAGCCACCACTTCTGCGTCAGTGGATGCCTTATGGGTTGATCCCATTTCAAGGCTCATTTTTCTCAGGTCGTCCGCAGTGTCACCGAGTCTAGCCAGCCTGCAGTTTACCCTCGTACCCATAACATCTGACAGTAAACTGTTCTTATGGCTGTATTTTTTGCAAATATGTTCTGGACTGATATTTGAGCGCAGGGATTATGCAGGATGATGGCAGCCCAGGGGCGCCAAATCCCGAAAACAAGGCTTCAGCTTCCCTGTGTGGCTTTGGAGGGTTGACTTTCTTGGCCAACTGACTCTTCTTTATTATGATACCTGTGATGATGCTGCCGCCTCCCTGGTACATGCCCATTTCTTCCTTCTCCATGGGTCAAGGAAACTCACAAGGGGAATTCAGCTTTAGGGAATCACAAGGGGCTTCTTCCCAGAAAACAACAGTTGAATGTAATGAAACATTCTACCTGACAACACTCTTCCACCACGGAGTTAGGTTCTTACATCATTCGTCGAACTGACGGTGGAGCGGCACGAGAACAGTGACCTGTCCCCTACCCTCCAAATGAGGAGAAAAGGGGGGAGGGGGAGCAAATGAGCAGGCACTAGTTTAATAAAATTTTCCATCATTTGTTTACATAGTTTAGGGAGTTCTATGGCCTTTTTCATGTCTGCAGGTCTTGGAGGCAGCCAGCTGTGGTTTGTTTTGCCTTTTTGACTTTCTGGGTGCCATCCTCAGTGGTGGCACAAATGAATAACTTAATACTGTACATAAATGCCATGGCTCACTGTACATCTGAGGGAACCAGGTTCGGGCTCTGGGTTCCCGGTATTCCAGAGAACTCCGCAAATCATGGCACCTAGTAGATGACACCTACGTCAGAGATGGTAGCTTCAGGGAGCCACGAAGGGCTCCCTCTCTAGATATGTAAATACAGTAGTTGTGATATACTGTATAATGTGAATATAGTGTTTTAACAGCAAAAACAATATGTTTTATTGTTTTCAGCAAATAATATAGTGCATATCTTAGTAACATGAATAGATCTGTGCATAGTTATGATCTACATGTTCTGTGATACAATACAGTAACATCATTGACAGTCCATCACATCACTGCACTTGAAAAGCCATGGTAATTCATAAGAAATACAAAATAAATATTATATATTCAATGAGAGAAATTATGATATCATGCAAAACATGCAGAGCTAGGCTAAACTTTGATAACATGTAATGAAACTACCACACCCACCAGATGTGTGTAGCGGTTTGTAATGCATGAAAATGTAAAGACTCATATACAGTGGTGCCTTGCATAACGATCGCCCCAAAAGGCGAACATTTTGGGTAACGAACGGTCCGATCGGCGTCAAATCGTCCTGTATGGCGAATGCTCGTTTGAGTAACGTCAACACCACATGGTGGGGTCACGCTGCTTCTTGCACATTCTCAGACGCCTCCGATGAAACACATAAATTATGTTGTTCTTGTTTAAAGATACTAATGATGCTGGGATATAAAGGGGTGACTGCCGAGATGTTGCAAAGCATTGAGGTTTTTGTAGAAAAAAGAAATTAAATTTCTGATATACAACAAATGTCAAAAAGGTTCGTTCGGTGTTCGGCAGGTAGGCTGCTCCATTATAATGATCTTTCTTTGTTTCAAATGTGTTCAATTTATTTTGTATTTGTCATTTATGTCTCAATAATGGAGCAGCCTTTCTTACATACACTGTACAAACCATTATGACATTTTCGTTTCTTCAAATGTGTTCAATATTTATTTTTCATTTGTCTTATAGCAAAAGGTTCGTTCGGTGGTAGGTAGGTAGGCTGCTCCATGTGTCTTACAAAAAAAAAAAAAAAAAAAAAAAAAAAAAAAAAAAAAAAAAAAAAAATGAAGAATTTCGAAAACCAGAACAAATGTCAAAAAGGTTCATTCGGTGGTCTACAGGTAGGCTGTTCCATGTTTCTTAAAAAAAATAAAAATAAAAAACGAAAAATATAAACAGTTGAAAATTTGAAAAAATGAACAAATGCCATAAAGGTTTGTTCAGCGTTTGTCGGGTGGCTGCTCCATTATTGAAACGTAAGTGACAAATACAAAACAAATGGAACACATTTGAAACAAAGAAAGATTATCATAATGGAGCAGCCTACCCGACAAACACTGAACGAACCTTTTGCTATAACAAATATGAAAGACTAGGGCTGCTGGCTGGGTTAGTACTGCATGAGCAACCATTTGTGGCACACATACCTCTGGCTCCCAAACACCTGTCCGACATGGTGTTGAAAGACTGCGCTCAGTCAGTGAAATTAAGACCTTATTGTTTGAAGAACATAAGAGTCATAATATTGGTGAAGTTAGGCGCAATAAGGACTTGACACAAGGGTCGGATGCAAGTGATACAGCACCTATGAGGACGATACAGCGAGCATATCCAGTTGTAGCTCTGAGCCCAACCCTTGCCATCTCCAATTTATATAGATGATACATAGATGAATCGTTTTCTGCATTCAGTGATGCAACCCGTTCTCGCACTTTCTTATAGTCAATATTGACTTATTAAATACGTGCATATGTGACATACTAATTTATTGTGAATATTTTAGTTTACCTTGAAAAGCTTCATAGAAAATACCGACCTTACTTAACCTTCTTAGCATGTTAAGATAAGCATCTTATTGCTTCGTAATTACAATTATTACTTAACCTATACCTATAATAGGTATACACCGACCTTACTTAACCTTCTTAGCATGTTAAGATAAGCATCTTATTGCTTCGTAATTACAATTATTACTTAACCTATACCTATAATAGGTTAAGTAATAATTGTAATTACGAAGCAATAAGATGCTTATCTTAACATGCTAAGAAGGTTAAGTAAGGTCGGTGTTTTCTATGAAGCTTTTCAAGGTAAACTAAAATATTCACAATAAATTAGTATGTCACATATGCACTTATTCAATAAGTCAATATTGACTATAAGAAAGTGCGAGAACGGGTTGAGTGATGATGCATCTGATACAAGTAACATAGATGAACAGTGTTAGCGGCTTCCATGGTGGTGTTTTCCATAGATATTTTCAAGAATACCTGAATCTCTTCCTGACTGACGGATACTTTTTGAGGCTAGCTGAATCTCTTCCTGTGTGGGACCTTACAAAGCGATCTATTCAAGACTGCTTTACAAATTGAGCTTTTCCTATAATCGTTTCAATACTACCTTATGCTTTACAAGCTTGGCTACATACCACCTACAAGTACTAAAGCCAAGGGTGCACGCGAGTGCATTATTTGCAAGCACACAGAATGATGAAACAAGAATAAAAAATCTATCTGTAGCTGGTGCAACGACAGCAAAGTCGTGCTGTGTACCATGGACTACTTCGTTGATTATTATGCACCTCCAAAGCACTGAGTGTGTAATACAGTGTGTTACTGTGTAAATAGTATGTGAAACTGTACATATTGTAATTTTAGTAAATTTTTACCATGTAATATTGTGACAATAAACATTTATTGTGGACACATTACTCGCACATGTATCACAGTTCCATGGAAAATTATGAACATTCTACAAGAAGTAAAAAATTGGCGGACAAGAAGCAGCTGCAGAAGACAGAAATTGAGCCACAACATCTTTAGGAAAAAGGAAGGGCAAAAAACCAGCGTTGAATGTAATGAAACACCATTTTCTGGGTGAGCCCCAGAGGCTCCCTGGAGCTTATCGGGCTAATGTACAGTATGTTATATTAGACCAAGACATTAGCTAAGGAGTTCAGACCTACCAGGGACCAGCGCCAGAACCTGGCCCCTTCAGAGAGATTTCAGGGAGCAATGACCCTGGAAAACCTCCTTATGGTTGGGGTTTTCCTTATCTGCCATCGACCGGGGTTAGGCACCCAGAAAGGTTGGTATAACAAAACAAACCCCACATGGTAAAAAACTAAAACAGAAAACCGAACAGAGAGGTAGAAACTCCCTACAATCCCAAGGAAACAAGCAAACGTCACACTTTACTGCGCGCCGATCGTCCGTGCAGCCCTCCTTGCCCCGAGAGGGGAAGGGGGAAACCCCGGACCTTACCGCTCTAGCTGCCTAGCATCAGTTTGGAAGCTAAGCTTCAACCAACGCGAAAAAAACGCCAACCGGTGGGAGGGAAGGGTTGCCAGGGAGCCTCCGAGGCTCACCCAGAAAATGGCGTTTCATTACATTCA